GAAATGTTTGGATGTTTCTTCACAAACACTTCTTGCTGTTCCAGGGGTGGATGGGAATGGAGATTGTCTGGGATTTGGGAAAGCCTTGGACAACCTTTGCTTGGTGTGGCCTCCCTGCCCTTGCCATTAATTGCTGATCCAATACACAACTCTGCCCCCTCTCCCCTGTCCTAAAGCACCTTCACTTCCAAAGGAAACCCCAATTTCCCAACTGCTCTGCTCAGCACACGCATCTCCCTGCATTGCAACAGAGCAGGGAGGGCTGAGTCAGCACTTTCAGGGCTTTGCAGCCGATTTACCTGGAAAAGCCCAGCTGGTGGAGACTGGGACCAGGCTGGGGGGCTGTCAGAGGCACCATCTCCCTGGGGAGCAGATCCCAGTGTGTGTCCTGACTGGAGCTCCCGCTGCTCCCTGCACTCCCTGAGCCCAGGGAAGGGGAGATGATGATTGGCACCGAGCACCAGCCTGTGGTGCCTCTCTCCAGAAACTGCCTTGCTCCTTTTTTTTTTTGTAAGGAAAGCCTGAGAAAATTCCAGCTACTTTGATGGGAAATGGTGGACTGAAACTTCCCTGCATCCTGGTGTGATCCATCTGGATATCTCTATAGCAACCGGTGTTTTTCACTTGGGAAGGATCCCCAGGGTCTCTTTCTGAGGCAATAAACATGTTCCCTCTCAGGTGCTGTACCCGAGGTCCCTTTGTGCAGCACCCTTGACTATTTTAGGAACAATTCTCTCCGTGTTTTAGCACAACACAAGGTTATTCCAGTTCCATTGATGGTTCAAGGCCCTCTCATCTTTCTCAAGTCGCAGCCTGGGCCTTGTCACTGCCTTCTGTCAAGCTGTGGGGAACCACCCCCAAAGCAGCAGCACCTGGGAAAGGATAGAAAGAAAAACAAACAAACAAACAAAACCCACCCACACACGAGAGAAAAAAGGGAAAAATCAGCAAGAGAGAAGAAAATCCACCTGCTGGCAGGTGCTGCAGCTGACAGTGGAATTCCAGTGACAGAAGGTGGCTGCCTGGCTGCTGCTCCTGGTTTTGTCCTGTAGTGCAGGACAACATCCACGCCCCACCTGCTGCTCCCCAGGGTCAGCGTGTGCTGCTGCAGAACTCACCCCAGGGGCAGCTGCTGAGCTCAGAAACTGCACCTGTCAGCAGGAAACAAGCAGAGAAAAACCATCATCGTCCCTTGGAATGCAGAGGAAGAGAAGGCACCTGGGGCAAACACCTCAGCAGAGGCCCTGGCAGAACAGGCATCTCCCCTCCCTTCCAGTGCCTTTCTGCCAGGCTGCTCTGTTTTCCAGCATTCCCAGCAGGTTGTTGGCTCAGTTGGTATTTCTGTGTGGTCAGTGTGGCTCTTCCCATGAGGAATGCTGCCTGTTCCGTGGAACAGAGGTGATGATCTACCAGCTGAGCGGACTGACACACCCGAACCCACCTTCTGCTCACCCCTCTTCTCACAGCAGACCAGAGTCTGTAATTTCTGTGGGTTTTTGCCTTTTCCAGGAAACTGAACTGAGGGAAAAGCAGAATCAGGCAGAAGAGTTGCTGTGCTTTCCCCAGTCCTGCCACGAAGGAGATTGAAGAGGCTGATGTCCATCCTCGGCTGTATCCTCTGCATCCCTCTGGCACACACAGGAATGCTTCCTGAAAAATTAGTAACCTGTATTTATGGGCTCCTTTTGCAGCCAATATTTGCTTAATCTCAGAAGTCATCTACCCAAATAAGAAGGGATTAACCGACATCCTAATCTGTCATAAATCACACACTCTTACCTTGAGGGACAGACAGAGCAGAGCCTACCCTGGGGTTTAGCCTCCATCAGTCTAAATCTAATTTAAGCCAACATTAGGACCCTAAAATCGTGCAATTTTAAACTGTGCTTCACGGCACTGTCATCTGGGACGTGTTTTGTGCTTCTCCCTCTCCCTGTCACTGCTGATGATCCCGCCAGCTGTTGTCTCCAGCAGAGAGAATCAGCTCACTCACCGACTCACCCAGCTGGCTGCGGTGGCACCAGGAGAGTCCCTCAGCCTGCAGAGCTTTTTTTTTTTTCTTTTTTTGGCATATCAAGATACGCCAGCTCCATTGAGAAGCATCGGGGGCTGGGATAATTGGGAAAGCAGGAGCTTGTTTTCTGCAGCAATGTGTGTGTGTGTGTGTGTGTGTGATGGTTCCTGGGGAGCTGCTGCAATTTGCAAATCAAAACCAAACAAACCCAACCGTCCAAATCTTTGCCAGGGACATTCTGGGTTTCCTCAGGCTATGAAAAAGCTGAAGCCTCTAAACATATCAGACCTGTTTGCCCACATTCCAGGGTTACAGCTTACCTGTACCCTGAGGCTGAGATGGAATCGCTGTCTCACACCGATTTTTCCTCTTCCCCAAATTTGCTTTGGGGGACTTGAAGGAAACAGAGAAGGAAATATCCCAAATAGTACTTTTTTTTCTGCGGATGCTCCGTGAAAGATGCAAATGCACGATGAAAAGGAGGGCCCAGACTCCAAGGTACTCCCGACTGTCATCTCAGCACTATCACAGAGTTGGATTCAAACCCCTTTAATCGGCACTTCCTTAGGGTGGATGAGCCCACAGGACAAACCAGATGCCTTGGGGCCAACAGGGCATCCTAAACAGGAAAATATCACCCCTCTGTACAGAGCATTTGGTGTCAACAGCATGATTTCTCCAGTGCTGCTGCTTTGCTTTGCCCATGTCCTGTTTTCCTGGTAGGAATGTAAGGAGCTCCCACTGAACCCCAACTGTCTTTGAGAGCTTTCTAGGAAATCTGGTATAAATAAATATTCTGATTTCAGAAATCTGGCTATTTAAGGTGGTAGGAAGTGCCATTTTCCAGCCTTGCCTTCCGTATCATCCCCTCCTGTGCCTTACAGGATCCGGTTACATCCCCTGAGGAACAGCACCTGAACCATAAAGCAGACAATCCTATCTAAGGGCCAAATAAAACTACTGTGAACCACACACCAAGCTGTCATTTTAGTGCTTTTGTGAGCTCTTTAAAGCACCATGGAATAGGCAGCAGGGAAAAGCAGGCATTTGGCAGCCAATCAGCTGGCAAAGTGGCAAAAAGAACAATTCCTGCGTGGCTCAGGAGATGGCCAAGGTGACAATTCCTTCGTGGCCAAGGTGACATCCATCCATCCACCCATCCATCTCCACCCTCTGGGTCTTTCTGCTCCGCTGGATTATTTAATTTGGTTGTTCTTTGGACAGACCGTGCCAGAACGTGCACGTTGGCAGCAAGAATAAAGGCAAAAAAGGGAACCCAACTGCCCTTTCCTTCCTCAGCTCTTCAGTGCAGAAACTCTTTTCTTTGGTCTCCCCTTTTTGTTTCACTTCATTTGCTGGGAAGAATTATTAATCTGTTGAATTCTCCCGTGGGGTTGGTTTTTTTTTTTCTTTTTCCCCCAAACACAGTGGTGCTGTAGAGCCTTCCCCTGTCCCTCAGGCTGATCTGCCACCATCAGAAAGCTGCAGGCACCAGGTTTGGGCTCTGTAATGGGGAAAGAGAAACCTGACAAGCCACATGAAGCGCTGAAACAGCAACTAAAACACTTGTTTTTCCCAGCAGGCACCCAGGGCCTCTTGGAGGATTAAACCTACTGCTAAATTTAGCTGGGTCTCACTGGAGTTATATCAGAAGTTATCAGATCAGGACATCTCTGGGGGGATGACGTGTGGCTGGTGGAAGTCTGAGTGAGCCCTGGCAGCTCCTGGGGGTTCCAGCAGAGCTGGGAACGTTCCTTGGAGCCAGCACACAGTGGGATCCTTCAAAGGACAGGGACCTGCTCTCAGCAGCCTGTTCATTTACAGACTCTGAGTAAAATGATAACCCCAGACACCAGAATTGTTGAAGCACCTGAAACACTCTCTTGTTTTAGTTTAGTTTAGTTTTGTTTTTTAATATGACCTTCTTTTCCACTGGTTGGGCCACACAAACACTTTAAACCCTTCATTCCAAAGCAACTTAACCCTCTCAACTGCTCTGATGAATTAAGGAGTGTTAATAAACATTTTAAAAGAGTTAAATCTGGGGGGGGGGAGAGACAAGTGAAACCCTTCAGAAAGTGAAGGACCCTTTGCAGGCCCTCATTTAGTGCACCAGGTTGATTGATTGTGTTCTCTCCATCCCTCCCATCTCCGTGGCCTGGAAACAAGTCACTCCCTGTCTCCAGGAAATGTCCAGCTCCATTTTCAGGCCGTTTGGAGCAGGGTCTGAAGGAAGAAAAGGCGTGTCCAGGTCAGGTGGGAGTGGCAGAAGTGCAGGAGCAGCCCTGGCTGCTGACAGGTCCATCTGTGCTCCTTGGGATGAAGGACACCAGCCTGGAATTGGACCCGACTGCCACTGCTGAGCCAGGGAAATTCAAGCCACGTCCCTTCTCCCTCCCCAGGAAAGGCTTCACCAAATGGAACTTGTGACTCCTCTTTATGGCACTTTATCTTCTCAATACTTATCCTTACATTTTAACATCCCTTGGAATATTTCTCCTGGTTGGAAGCTGTGATTTGGCTCAGTCCAAAAGACTCTGAAGGGCAAGGACTCTTAGAGAGTCAACAGGACCACCCTGAATATTCACATTCACGCAGAGCATTTTGATTTTTTTTTTTTTTGGTTTTAAATACTGAAACTCCATATAAATGAGCTGGAATTGTGTGTGGGGGCCTGCACGTGTGTGTATACTTAGCAGGAAAGACAGACACAACAGGCATAAAATGCCAAAGGAATCAGTTCCCTCATTTCTTTCCCCTGAAATCTCAGCAAGTCTGGTTTGAGGCAACACTCCCAACACCTTTTCCCATGTTATTTCCCATTTATAGCACCCTCAGGCACAGCTGCAGGACAGCAAGTCTGATCTCTCTCTTCAGGATCATTTTGTCATCGGGCCAAGGAGACTCAAAGTGGCTCAAGAAGCTCCTGGTTTGGCTCCCGGGGCTGGGGAGGGGAAAAAAAAAGACACACACGGATTTCCTCAGGTGCCACCGGACAATCAGAGTCACTTCACCGTTTTTATTTGTTGATGGCTTCTAGAAAACAGAATTCCCTTTGGATCAGACAACCTCGTAAAACATTTGGAGTCTCGTGCATGCCTGTGAGACATCAGGGTTCAGCAGAGCAGCATCAGCAGAGCCAGCCAGTGCAGCTGGCAGGCAGAACTCCTGCTTTCTACTGAAGGGGAAGGGAACTCACAAAATTAAGGCACTGTCAAACCCCAAACCCACAAACCATTTGACCTTCCAGACTGGCTTTCCTCTGATTGTATATATATATATATATGTTTTTAATTAACCATCAGTTGCAGTTTTGAACAGGGACACACACACACACACACACACAAAACCCCACTTTCCTGAAATCCTCCTGTTTCTATTCCCAGCTGGGAGGTGACAGCAGCAACCTCAGTGCTGGGGATGGGAAATGCTGCTCAGCTGGCAGCCCAGTGCTTCATCCCCACCTGTGCCACCCTCCCCACCCCTCAGATGATGCCACTTTTAGGGACAAAATCAGTTATAGGAACAGCTTAAAACTACTGTAAAAGCCAGTGTTGACTAAGCAGGACGTGAATGAGCTGACAGACTCCTCCTGAACCGCGCAAGGCATTGATTCTCCATCACTGGGCACAAGCTGCACTCACAGACCAATGGTTTGGCCCATAAATATTTTCAGCTAGTGTGTTTTTATCAGTCCTTTCAAGAAGTTCTAATCAGCTGGTGTGAAATCCACTGCTTCAGCCTTTCTATCTGAATCCAAGGATACAGAAAACCTTCCTTCCTGCATCCAGGGAATGCCCAGCCTGTCCTTTGGGATCACTGCTACAAGAACAAACCAGCACGGAGTTGTGGGCTCAGGACCTGAATTTGAAGTTCCAACCCTCTCTATAAAGATGCAACATTAAAAAAAAAGCCAGATTCAGGTCCATGGTTGGGGTGCCGTGGCAATAAGAAATAAATAGTAATAAATACTTTACTCACACACACACTTTTCTGGTATCCCACAGGATCACAAACAAACCACACTATGCTTCTCCCCTGGGTAAATGGGATCGGGTTTGAGGTGGGACACACTTTAGGACAGTGACAGTGCCAACACATGGCACTGGGAGCATTTCACAGCTTCAGAGCTCTTGCTAACACAGACTTTAAGCAAGTAACAACATTCTGTCCATTTGAATCGGAGGGAACTGAGCTGAGAGAAACAGAGTTTGACTCAGGCAAAGTCCTTATTGCACATAAAATGTCACATCACTTGGAGATATGGCACATGTGGGAGCAAGGAAAAATCAGCTCAGGCTCATAAGAGACCATTTCACTTCCTTGAGTATGAAAGCTGATTTCCACACTGACTGTGTCTTAACAGTTTGTTGTTTCGGCAGACACCAGGAAGGTCAATGAAAACTCAAAGGAACTCACGAGTTGCAGGAGCACAAACCATCCCCTCCATTCGTAAATAAACACAGCGAGAAGGTTTTTACATCAGTTGAAAATGCTGCATCAAAACTGCTGACAGCTTGGGAACTGGCACCCAACTCATCCCCCTGGCACAAACCCACAAATCCCTGAAAGTACGAGCAGACCGGAGAGGCAGAGACCAAGAGGCAAGCACAGAGAGCAAAACCGAAATTCAGGAACCTGCCTGGCAGTGTCCCAGCTTCCACCTCTCCTCTGGAGCCCGAGGGAGAACAACTGGAGCACAAAGGAAGTCACGGGTGGCTTTGAGACTCAGCCCTGGGGGGGGGATTTTTCTCGGCCTGTTTTCGGGCGCCGTCGCTTTTTTTATTCAGCTTTTTTTGCCTTCCGTTTCCTGGTGCCTTCGTTGAGCTCCTCCTTGGACTTGGCAGGAGGAGGAGCCGCGTGGGAAACCTCGTGGTGGTCGTGGTGGTGGCCTGGGTGTCCACTGGAGACGGAGCCAAAGAGCACGGGGCAGATGAGGTTTTCCAGCGGGGCGAAAGGGGAGGCGTGGGAGTGAGTGGCCGTCATGAAAACCTGTCAGGAGATGAGGAAAAGCTGAGAGTTAAAGATTTAAGGATCCCCCACTCCAGCCAGGGAATGCTGACCACATGGGACACTCCACTGGCTGTAAAGATAAAGTGCAGGCTGTTCCCAGTATTTTCTGCATGTGCACATACAAACGGATTTCTTTAATTTCTTTTACTTTGATTTCACCTGGAGGTGGTGAGAGGGAAAAGGGAAAAAAATACAAACAAATAAAACCCAACAAACTACATAAAAGTGTTTTTCCATTTGACTTCTCTCATCAGACTGGGGGTTGTTCACCACTGCCTTCTCTCTTGGAGGACTGTCTCATCTTCAAGAGTGAACTGAAATGGTCCAACCCAGGGAGAACCACGGGGCAGTGAGACACAAGGATGTTTACAGTCCCACCTGTACGATGGAGAATTTAGCCTTGAATGCCCCAGGCAGATCCCTCCTGGGATGCACAGCCTCTAGTGGCTCAGGAACACCCCCAGTTTGGGTCTGTGCCCGTCCTCTGGTTCTGTAACTTGTAGCATCCAACCTGCCGTGAACTCACCTTGCAAACAATCATGAACATGGTGAAGAAGAAGATGAGGTTGGCCTCGGAGATGGGCAGCCAGTGAGTCTGCTGCAGGGTGAAGAGGACTGTGCCGTACAGACTGGCCTTGGTGGGGCTGAAGGAGAGAGAAGGAAGGTTTTCTGGGAGGTTCTTTACACTTCATTCTTGCTCTGAGCAAGAACTCAGCCTACTTACAAGGACATGTGAAGGATTTCATTTGTCTCTGGCTTCCAGACCCCACGCAGCAGCTGCTCAAAGTTCGACAGCAAGGCCACACCAGAACCTGTGACACAGGAAAAGCTGTCAAAGAGCTGCAACTGCCACACCAGAGAGCTCTGCTGTCTGCCCTGGATCCTCAAGGGAGAAGGTTAACCCAGGGGAGTAAAGGGTTCATGATATTATTCCCAAATTGAAAAGGTAGCCTAAAACAACAGAGCAGGGCAAATGCTTTCCTAGAATTTCCTGAAGTGTTTCCTGATGCAGGGAAAGGGCATTTCCCTCTGCCATTCACTGATGCTCAGGTGCTTGCTCTGCACAAAAGCTAAAAGAAAACTGCCTGGGCTGTTTCAACACTGACCAGTAGAACACAGGAGAAGGAATGAAGAATTCCTAAATGACTCCAGTCCTCCATGGAATCACAGAATCAAACAGGTTGGAAAGGACCTCTGAGATCATCAAGTCCGACCCTCTATCACCAGCCCATGGCACTGATGCCACATCCAATCTCACCCTAAAAACCTCCAGGGACAGTGAATCCACCACCTCCCTGGGCAGCCCATTCCAATGGCTGATCACTCTCTCTGTGAAGAATTTCTTCCTAATACCCCTTTAGGCCAAACCTATTGGCTGTGATTTGTTGTAAATTTAAGGGGTGGGGGCATCAGCGCTCCAGGAGGCTCCACTGCCAACGAGAGATGTGCCAAACCTCCATGGGCAGCCACTGGAGCATCCAACTCAGCCTTCTTGGAAGCTGAATGATGACTGAGCTCACAACCACTCTGCCAGACAGTTCTGTAGATTCATCTGGGATGAACCCAGCAAGCAATAAACCCCTTGTGGGGAGCCTGAGCGACCAGCTGAGCACACGCAAGTGCTCCGAGCTTCCCTCCCAGCCTCTCCCCAGCAGGTTGGAGCTCTCCCTGCTGCCCTTCAGGCTCTCTCCCGTGTTCACCTTTGACCCAGCCCGTGGCCATCATGACAAACCACCCGTGGTGGTAGAGGTGGTGAGCGTGGTGGACGCCGGCGGCGATCTTGCGGACTCGGACCACCTCCTTCATGGCCACGAAGATGAGCTTGACGGGCAGGAAGCTCACACACTTGTAGAAGAGGTTCATGGGGCAGAAGAAAATCAGGTACCTGCAAAAAAAAAAAAAAAAACACAAAACACCAAGAGTTTAAGGGGCTGTTTGTTTGTCCTGATCTGGGAGGAGCAGTGCGGCGTCAGCCCGAGGTATCGTCAGGTGGGAGCGAAGGAGAAGAAAGGAAAAGAAAAAGAATATTCTTCATTTGGTAGCTGATTCTATAAAGAAAAGGAAAAAAAAAAGTTCTTAATTTCATAGATAATTCTATTAAAAAGAAAAGGAAAGAAAGATTCTTCATTTCATTGCTGATTCTATAAGAAAAAGAACGAGTCTGAATGACGTAACTGATTCCATAAAGAAGGAAAGAAAGAGTCTTAATTTCATAGCTGGTTCTATAAGAAAAGGAAAGAAACATTCTTAATTTCATAGCTGATTCTATAGGAAACCAGTGGGCAACAAAGCCTCTCTACAGCAACATTTAAATGAATTGATATCAAATGGACTCAGGGAACTCCCACTACTGATACCATCCTGTTCTGAATAAAAATCCAGTCATTTAACTCAGAATCTTTTAGAATTTTATATCTCGGATGGTCCAGAGGCATGAGAAGCTACATATACTGAAATGATACTACAGACAGAGTAGATATCCTCTTTTCCAGAAGACTGCCTGAGAGAATATCTTTCTTTTTTATTTTCTTAAGCATAGAAACCCTGGGAGCTGAGGGATTCACTCATAATGTTTCCTAACAATGCTCATCCTGGCATGCAAAAGCACATATGAGCCATGCACACCGAGGAAATCAAAGGTTAATTTGTGCACATTTCACTATCACAGCGAATAAAATGCCCCCCAATCTTCAGGGAGGGCTGAAGATCTCTGTAGGTGGGATCAGCCATGGTTTGGCTCCGGCTCAGCAGCAGCTTCTATGAATAGAAGTGCCCAGCCCTTGGCCTGGCCCCAGCCCAGATAATCACAGCATTAGGCAACTGGTCAGGGAAACTGGGAAACCAGAGCCAGGAACGCAGAAGACTCAAAGCCTACCTCACCCCACCTCCCTGTCCCCGGTTAATCCCGGCGGGATCATTCCCGAGGGCACAAACACAACATCTCCCTCCCCAGCCAGCGGTGCCCACGGTGAAGGGACTCACCAAACCGCCGTGGCCAGGACGACGCTGGAGTTGTGGCTGAAGTACTCCAGAGGCGCCTCTCCAAGCAGCAGAGCAGCCAGGATGTAACTCCCGAAGCAGTGGAGCATCGCACAGAGCCAGGAGGCGAAGGGGCTCCTCCGAGACATCTCCACGGCTCCTGCCAGGCGAGTGGGAAATCACAGAGTTCACTTCACCCAGGTTGGAAGGGACCTTCAAGATCGTCCCGTCCAACCTTCAGCGAGAAGATGAATCCAGCAAGCAAGCAGGAACTTCAAGACCCACCAAGAAAGAGGCTCGAGGTGTTATGTGTGTGTGTGTGTGCTGGGAAGCCCGAGCAAGTAGCAGATTGCCAAGAAATGGGAAGTGTGATCACAGCCTGCAGGCCCCCCCTGAAGGTCTCACTCACATGGACAGGCATTAGAAGTTTATGAACTGAGAGTTTATCGCCTTTATTTTGCTGCCACTTCCTGCGACCAGAAGGGACATTTCTTCCCTCAAAATCAAGGTCTTTTTACAGTCTAAAAATAAAATGCATACTGGTACCATTCTCTCCATTGCTTCAACCTAGGTGCCCTCTAGAATTCATGAGCAATCTGTTCAGCTCTTTCATTCATAAGATAACCTGTAAAAATAGAACAGGAATTCTTAATCTTTATTTGAAAGAAGATGTTCTGAGGATTCTTCCTTGTACTAGTCTGGGAATACCCTTTGAAAATAAGAGATATTAAAAGAGTGTTACTATTTGTTAATACATTGTGGTCTCCTCCCACAACCATTTTTAAATTCCTGTAGCCATTTTCATCCAACTTTGTACTCCTTCAGGGAAATCTCCCAATAACACCAATTCTGTGGGATCGTTTCATCGCCCTAAAAAGCTCCCAAAGTCCTTTGTGCAGCATTTCAGAGACAAAACTCTTTTCAGCGAGCCAGGAACAGGCAGTCAAGAGAGAGAATGATCAAATGTCGTGTCAATGCCCATCCTAAAGAGCAGTAAGTACATCAGCATATGCCAAAGCTCAGGCTCTTCCATCCCCAGGACATTTGAACCAGCTGAAAACCTCGAGACAGCTGCGACAGCCGGGACGTGAAGCTGGTTCTATAGGAACCCGAGGTTTAGCTCGAGGCTTAAATTTAGTAACACTTGTTTTCCTTTGGCTCCCTCAAGCCCTGCTGTCTCCAAGGGGGAAACAGGACGGTTCTGTCCCGACACTGATTTTCAGG